GTCCAGGGCAGCACCAGTTTCTGACCAGAGCAGATTCAGTTCCCACTTCCTGGGGACCCCAATCTCCCCAACCAAGCTAAAGAAACAAATGCTGCTCCCTGAATGCTGTCATGCGTATAACTCCCACTAGAGTCTGGCAATAGGCACCTTGTCTTTGAATCAATACACCCCACAAGAGCAAGATCCGGTTGTCTGACATCTATCTTTATGCCACCAATTCCAAAACACAGAGCTCAAAAGTGCTGCGATTCAATCACTGACAAATGAGTATTTTGAGAGCAATCCTGACTTCCTCCCCCCTTAACACAATTCTCTCTTAATCAACTGGCACTCAGTGGTACTCCTTCTTCGTAGATGGCATGTGCAATAAACTGGCAAAGAGCAAACATTCAGGAATGGATTTTCAGTGTCTGGGAGGTATGAAGCCAGTCACGCTAGGAGGAACAGCCGAATGGAAATACTCCCAAACATCTGGGGCTGCGCTTCAAATTTCAAAGTGATTCTTCTGCTTGCACAACTTTACAATCTTGGCATTTGCCAAATGCTTATGTTTTGCTTAATCTGAAATTAGGCAAGGATTTCAGCTCTCACTCTCGGTATCACTTGAATGGTTTTTCCGTGTAAAGGGAGCTTTATTGTATACCGAAATTCAGCCTGCTCATGGTTTAGTAAGACAGAAGGCAACTAAGGGTCATTAGCAGCCTCATTCTTCTCCACTTTGCAGTATCTGACTTCCCGTCAAACACAGGTCTGCCCCTTGCCTGTGCCTTTGGTCAGTAAAGGCAGAAAAGCTGCCCAAGACCCCTCAGTTCTCAAGCTGAATGAGACACTGCTGGCCACACTCATCTTTCCTTTTGACCCAGACTCCATCTAGTTGCCTCCCTGAGGAATCTAAACCCCAGACAGATGAGGTCCTTAAGTCCTAGCACGTACTGCCCAGTTAGTGCCAGGATACCAGGAAGGCAGGCATAAGCAGAGTGCGTGCTTCAAAAGGTTTCTTCTCAAAAGGCAGTCATCCCTCTTATTTTAATACTGTGGTATAAAAATAAGAACTAATACTATGCAACTAAAGTCATTCAAACATGGGTCAGTTCTCTTTTCTCAGGGACAAGAGCTGACAGAAACCAAAGAGGACTTTCTAACTGTCCTATACTTTAGAAATAGCATCAGAACATGGGGAGAAAAGCCTGGCAGAAACTGGACCAAAACTGAGTCCTTATTGTGACCTGGGCCAGCCACTTGCCAAACCACACCATGCCACGCTCTGACCCAGTTAGCTGGGGAAGTCGGGGGCAGTGGGGCTGGGGTGCCCTCCCTAGGACTAAATCAGACAGTTTCCTCACTGAGGTTCAACAGGTGAAGAGGGAGAGATGAGGGCCCTCCTCCCTTTGCCCCTTCTCCCCTGGAATTAACTCTCCAGGACTGGGAACAGAGTCAGGGTCAATGGTGCTGACCATGGGCAAGACCTGATACAAAACCACTGTCAGCTGGTGAACAAGAACCGCCACTCCATGAGTTCACCTCGCCAGAAAGCACATCCAAGTGCCCCTGTGGTCTCATGAGACCAATACTATAGAAATAGAGGATTAAAACTTACGGCTCCCCAAAACTTGAACACTGATGTATATAGTAGCTTTATTCATAACTGCCCAAATTTGGAAGCACCTTTGGTAGGTGAATGGATAAACAAACATGCAGACAATGGAAAATTATCCAGCGTTAAAAAGAAACAGAGCCACAAAAGTATACGAAGAAACCATAAATGCATATTGCTAAGTGAAAAAAGCCAATCTGAAAAGGCTGTATATAGTATGACGATACAGTATGATACAGTATATCCCAACTACAGGACACTTGGAAAAAGTGAAAATACAGAGAACAGTAAAAAGATCAGTGGTTTCCAGGGGCTTGGGGGATCAATAGGAGGATTTTTAGAGCAGTGGAAGTATTCTATATGATACTACAATGATGGAAACAGGTCATCATACATTTGTCCAAACCCATAACATGTACAACACCAAGAACCCTAATGTAAATCCTGGACGTTGGGTGACAGTGATGTGTCAATGCAGGTTCACTGATTGTAAGAAATGTACCTTCCTGGTGGGAGATGTTGATAGTGGGGGAGGGTCATGTGGGGTGGGGGTGCAGGTAATGGGAAATCTTTGTACCTTCCTTTCGATTTTGTTGTGAACCAAAACTGCCCTGTAAAACAAAGTCGATTTTTAAAAAAAGCAAAAGGTGTGGAGTCTCTAAGGTAGGCGACAAGTTCTCAGCATGCCAAGGACTGTTGCTAAAGACCACCTGTGTAGCAATGGTCACAGTGACATCGACACCCATTGGTTGCTCACCTGCTACAGGCAGGGGACCAGCATCTGAAGAACCACCAAGCACTGACCTCTCCACCAGATGGAGGCACAGAACCAGCCATTATCACATGGGAATTTCCCCAGTGCCAGCCTCCGTTCTGAATCCAGAAAAATGTGAGCTTCACCCTTTCCTCCCCATCCTCTTCATGTCCACTACACCCTCAGAGAGAAGCCCCACAGTGATGATCACTGCTTAGCTGTGAAGAACTGCTGTGAGGGATGAAGACCAAGAAGCAAGACACTGATGGACCCTTAGCCAAGCCCTCAAGTTCAACAAAACCAGCTCTGGACACCTCCTAAAGTTCCATCTTGTCCTTTCTCCTTTGAAGTCTTCATTTTTTTTCTGCTTTAGAACTGCATGCTGGAAAATTATTTTTTAATCGCATCAAACCCCTAGGTATTAAAAATCTTTGCAATGTAGGCAAAAAAATCTGATATATTTGCATAAAATCTCATACAGACCAAAAAACCCCCCAAAACCTTCAAATACATCTCAAATGGTTTCCCATTCTCTAGTGTGACATGGGAGCAGAGATATACCTGCTTTGGTAATGGGTGATGCTCTGGTGGCTGGTGGCTTGGTACTTAGATCAAGTCCTGACATGAAAAAGTGAACAGCCTTCCAGGATGAGTGTGTCTGCACCAACAGAGGCTCCTCTGTGCCAATGCAGCCCAAAGCTCTTAGCTCTCTACCTCCCCAAAGGCCACAAGAGCCACATACAATGAAATGGAAGAGCACACAGATGAGCTCTGGATGGGAGAACAGCAACTAAGACAGGAAGAGCCCCTGCAGACCATGACCTGGCAAGCGTGTTCTCGTGGGTAACAGTTTCTGACATCTGTGAGACACATACTCACTGTCCCCTCTGCTCACAGGAAAAACTGACCGTTGTTTTGCATGTTTTCATCCACAGATACTTTCTTGCTGCCTTGTAGCATAAATGAGTGTCTTCTATAGGTAGAAACTATCATTTTCCTCAAACTGCCCTACTGTGATAGAGGGTTATTTTGCTTTGCTTTTAATCACAAGGAGAATTTTAAGAGTCAAGGGACAAAGAATTGACCTTGCTGAGTCAATTGTTTGATGAGTATTACTCAGTTAACAGCCCAAATTTGGGGCTGGACCCAGGGCCCTTCTGCCTTATTATGGAGAGACAGACAGCCCTGTGGGACTTTGGGGTTCACACTTAGCAAAGGGAATCCTAAAGAATAAATCATAACACAAAACCTTTTGCCAATAACACTCAGTCCAGTAAAGTCTGTGGCCTTTGTCTTCATTATTCTACAGCAGTGCTGCCTCAATGGACCTGTCTGCATCAGTAAGTACCCTCTGTGTTTGCACTGTCCAATATGGCAGCCATCGCCAAGTGTGATTGGGGGCTACCTTACTGGACAGCACACCTCTGGAATGGGTGCTGGCAGTTCTAAAACTAAAGGCTTAACTGGAAATAACAGTCACACAGGGTGATGCTGTAACTTTCTCACAGTCACCAGTGGTGTTTTAGCTTTGTTCTATGTCCTACCAACACCAACAGGTCTGTGATGGGCCTGTCTAATATACTGGTAGTCCTATTCATGGACTGATTCTCCTATTCGTGAGCAAAAATTTGATGCCAGTACAGTTATACCCCACATTAAACAAAACCAAGCTGGCAAAAGAATTTACAGAGTAAGAATCTGGCTGGTGAAGACGATTATTCACTTTTTAAGAAATTCATCAAATGATTCATTAAGGAGCATTTGCCTTACGCATGTAACGAAGGAGTAATTTACAAATTTATACACAGCCTTTAAAGACCAAGCAAAGTGACAGACACATGCAAATGAAGGTGGAGACATTATTCATGAGGTGCAAGGAATAATAACGGTGAATAAGTTAGCAGTTATATTCACAGGCTAGAGAAATTCCTCCCTGTAGGGAGGTAAAGGCAGAGGTCAGGCCTTGAGGGCTGACCCACTTTCCCAGTGGGGCCCTGTCCTCTAACCTCCTTCATTGCTCACCTGGCTACACCAAAACATTATCATTGTCATTTTTAAAAGATCCATGGGATTTATCTCTTCAAAAGATCCATTCTTTGGAATCCTGAGCCACTAGGATAATTGAGGATTCATCAATTTATCTAGTTCAGGAAAAATAAATTCTTCTAAACTGTATTCCAAATACTGCTCCCTTAAATAGGCTGCCTTCCACATATATGACCCAGTGTCACTTTTGAGCCCCTGTCCTTAGTTTCCTGTTATATAGCCCAGTGTCACCTATGCCTCCTCCCACCACCTCACAGCCACATTCAGTAAATGCTCAGGCCTGCTGCCTTCTGCCACTGTGGTGTCCCCAAAGCCACACTGGCCCAGGTGCTCAGGAGTCCCCTGCTCCCCACAGCCTCTTCCCTCTCCTGCTGTGCCACTGCTCAGGTGGTTCTGGAACTCTTTCTGGTCACCTTCTGCCCTGCTCCAAAACCTCCACTGTCTCTCTCACACACTACAAAACAAAGTCCAATTACCTCAGTTTACATATGACACCCCAGAGCACCTTTCTAAATGTCTTCTCCCCCATCATTCTTCAGACCCCTTTGCTCTAGCTAAGCCCACATCAAATGCTCCCAGAATGCCAAGCCCCTTTCCTCTGCTCACCTGCCACTTCTTCTGGGGTGGTGGACTCTCCATCTCTACAAATAAACTCCAATCAGCTTTCAGGCCTTAAGGCAAACACCAACACCCAGAAATAGGTGTCTATTCTGTGAGCGGGGAGAATCAATTTCTGTCCACTAACCTCCCAGAATATTTCCTTCCCACCTTTCCTGAGGATGCTAAACTTAAGAGGCAGCTGGAGCTAGCTGTAGTGAGCCCTTCTGCCAGCTGGAGCCCCAGGGCTTCAACACACAGCTAAGTACATAGCCTTTCTGGGCTTCTGTTTTCTCTTTGGCAAAGGATGATAATAATGACACTTATGTCATCAGGCTATTGTGAGGGCTACCAGATACACTAAGCATCAAGGGTGGAGAGCAGTGTGGCATGTGGTAAGCACTCAGGTGTGACCTTTGGTTTCGTCTTGTATCAGTGTCTCCAATGAACACATCTTAAAATCTGACACTTCAGCTGTAGTTCTCATCCCTTGGCTGTGCACGATGATCAACTGTATTAACAACAAATGCAGCAGGAAATAGATGCCAGGCTCTGCCCTTGAGATGTGTATTTAGTTAATTTGGGATAAGGCCTGGGCATCGTCAAGAGAAAGAGAGATCCTGATACCACACCAGGGGTGAGGATGTTGGCACAAACAAGTTCCCTAACCCTTCTTCAGATCCCTCTGTTCTTCAGAGCCCAGTCCTTGCACACAGAGGAGGCTGAGGAACACAGGACACATATCCCCTACTGGGGTATGTGCTTGAGTTGGGATCCTTGCCTTTTGCCTCTTAATGCTATAAACATGCCCACCCATAGCACCTGGTCTCTATTCTTCTTCCACTTTACTACAAAAAAAAAAGCCAAGAGCTATTGTGGAAAACAATGGGGCAGTTCCTCTATAAGAGAGGATTACCATATGACACAGTGATTCCACTTTTTGGTATATACCTCAAAGAATTCAAAACAGGTATTCAAGCCAATACTCATATAGGAATGTTCAGTGAAGCTCTATTCACAATGGCCAAAAGGCGGGAGCAGCCCAAATGTCCATCAGTGGATGAATGGATAAACAAAATGTGTATATGTACAATGGAATATTAGCCTTAAAAAGGAATGAAATTCTAATGCATGCTACAACATGGATGAATCTTGAAGATATTATGCAAAGTGAAAGAAGCCAGACACCAAAGGACAAATACTGCATGACTCTGCTTATTTCAGGTAATCAGAGTGGTGGAATTCATAGAGACAGAAAGCAAATGAGAGGTTGCCAGAGGCTGGAGGAGGGAGGACTGGGGATGAACAAGTTAATGGGCAGAGAGCTCCTTTGGCTGCTGAAAGGCTCTGAAACCAGACAGAGGTGATGTATACACAGTACTGCAAATGTGCTACATGCCATTGAAATGTATGCCTTAAAATGGGTGAAATGGTGAATTTCGTATTATGTGTATTTTACCCTAATAAAAAAAAATCATAAAAATCCAAGATCTGAACTTGTCAGAATTATTACAGAGGTACAAGCAACTTTGAATGAGCACCCTGTCCACAAGAAAAGGGAACAAGACTTAGAACCTGAGCTGTGCTATATTTTCATCCCTTAGGCTTTTTATGTTTCATTTCTTTGTAAGGTATTTTGATATTGAACTAACCAAATTGCCAGTTCTGGATAGGTGATATATTTTCAAACCAAAAACACAAAAAGAAACCAAGAAACACTTACCCCAGTGTTCCCCTGGTTGACAGTTCCCTTCTGGAGCAGGCACTTATGATGCCCAGGTCAGCTCAACAAATAGCACTAACAGCGCTGGACTCTTCTGGCTTGGACTCACCATTGCAAGGTGGCGATTTGGATAACCTTGTGACTTATAGAAAATACCAACTCTAAAGTCTATGTGACTGTGTCCCATCCACTAGAAGATCATGTAACTGTGGGTAGGGAGGAATGAGGAAACTCAATTAAATTTAAAAAATAATAATAAGTAACAGGACAGGTCACTTTTTAAGGAAAGTTCACTGGTTGTGCCACATGATTAGACGTGATGTGACTCATTCATCACTTGGAATCAGTGCTATTTTCAAAATGAAGCCAAAGAAAAACACAACAACCACCAGGGTACATCAATCAGAAAGGTATTTCCATACACTTGATCCCTAATAATCAAGTACTAAATCATCCTTCAACCATCCATTGCATTTAGGATAAAAATGCATCTGTTCCAAATGATAGCACAGAGCACACAAGAGAGCTGAGCAGAGGAGCGACATCCTGCTTGCCCTCAAAATTATACCTTTCCTAACTTCACCTGGCAGAATGCTCCTGAAATGATTTTAGCAGAATATCTCCAATGTCATACATTACAACATGGATCTAAGAGTTAAATCAATTTGGCTACCTAAAAGCTCAATTTGTGAAAATGTACTTATGTATATTCAATTTCAAAATACACATCTCCCAGCGATGGAAACCAAATGTGAACATTATTTGATGAATGGAATGACAGACACAAATATTTTTCTATTTCTAGCCACTATGAGAGAGAGAAAGAACTGTTGATTACACAGAGAATCAAGAAATGCACATTAAAAGTCCTCCGTTTATAAACTAAAAATGTATTGCAATAACCACGGGTGCCTTTAGCTATGTTACCTAAGCCATACATACCAAGCAGCAAACAACAGCAAAAAACTCCTCTGTGACAAAATCACAAAGCTATTGGGGGGTGTGGCATGTGTGCCACACACACACACACACACACACACACACACACACACACACACACACACAAGCCAAGCTTCAGTGCTCTCACTATCTATTCAAAACACATACCAACTGTGGCAATCCAGGTGGAAAGACTATTAACCAATCTATCAAACAGCCCTGTGGTTTTTAAGTTCCTTCCTGAACCATCCCCTAAAGGAGTCCCCAAACAACAAGAAACATGATCCTGCCATTTCAACTTGGATTTGTCTTACATAATGTCCTAGGTCATGGAGTACACTTGGGAGTCAACTGACTGATAACTGTGAAGTCATCCTGGGTACTTAAATCACAGTGGGCCATGGTCAATGCATGTAGCTTCCTGCTTGGAGAATACCACCAGCTACAGTACCAGGTCAGAGAACACACCCATGGAGCAGGTCAAGCATGCACGGACAGAGGCCTCCTCCCTCCCCAGGGAATGGGAAGCAGAGGCATCTAATGGCCCTGCAAACCACAGTGCATCATTGCAGCAGGTTCTTCCTGTCACAAAGGTCCTGGCCCTGGTTAGGGAGACAGGGCCTGGAGCCTTACCTGGAGAAATGCACCTCCGTGCACAGTAACACCTGCTTATCTCATGATGCATCATGTCATCAGGGTGCTACGAAGGGGGTCTGAGTGGCAAGCATAGTCCCTTCATCTTGCCACCTTTAGTATGAAGGCCTCTCATGACAGAGAGGGGAACCCAGTGAAAAACAGTTTCCTGCCAGCCTCTCTAAAAGCAATTTTCCAGAAACCACCTTAATTTGGCTCTGCCCTCATGCCCTCTGCTGTGTGCGCAACCTGTCCTCAAAGCCCAGCAACGGAGGAGTCAAAGGGCTCTGCCAAGTGCTGTTGGAGCACAGGTTTCTCAAGGCAGGACAGACGGTCTTGTGAGGGACTGGATAGCACAGGAGCCAGAGCAGTATCTCAAGGCTGCTACAAGCCCCTGTGCAGGGACACCCTCCCTGTGTCCCTTGGCCCAGCCTCTATCCTTACACTCCTCAGGGACTGAGCTTTGCTGATTCTGCATCTCTTCTGAAAGATGGTCCACTCCTTCCTTTCATGGATCCTGCCAAGCACAGCTTTCTCTGTAAGCAATATATAGATGATGTGATATCTGCTTCCTGTTGATGTTAGATGAGTCAACTAGAGCGTGAGGGCAGACAACACCCCTAACCCATCCCACTGTGGCTGAGAGGAGCCCATCAGAGTCGCTCCTGAAGTCGCAATGAACTCTGAAATGCCTGGATCAGTGAGAGCCCAATAAATACTGCACCCATGAATAAGGCAGCTGGGGAAGGAGCCCAAAGGGGCCGCACTCAGTGAAGCACCAGGCACGAGAGGGACTTCTGTGTGGGTTTCCTTCCATTCTGTCTGCCACTTGTCTCCCTTATGGCTCTGGGCACCCTGGCCTCTGAGACCACTTCCAGCAAGTGGCTTCTCAGGGGCACTGCCTGGACGCACATGTCCCCCCCTTCAGGCTGTGGCTGCAAGCTGCTGCGCAGAAAGGAATGGAGAGTGACAGCCTGCTCTGGAACTGATGAGACCCTGTGTACAAACTGGGTGAGAGTCAGGAAGGCCTGCCAAGGCATTCCGCTCTCATCCATCTTCAGTCAACTGTAATAGCAGGAGGAGCTGAGGAGTACCACGAAGAGTATATTTGGACAATCTGAAGGACATTCTCGGGGGACCAACATCTGTTCTACTGTAGCTGCCACCAGCCTACTTCTGGCCATCAGTACCCATGGACCCCTGCAGCAGCTTCCTTAGTGGCCTCCCAGCTCTGCGCCATACAGAAATGACACGCAGGGAATCCCACACAACAGTACTGCCTCAACACCAGATACAACACATCTGCTGGAAAATACCCCCAGGATATCATCACAGGGACACAGAAAGGAGGACCAGCATCTGGAGCACGGCCTACTGCATCCCTTGCCTTAAACCAAAAGCAACTGGGGGAATGCCAACACACCTGCCTGTGAGAAGGCAAAGGCCAGTGGACAAAGGAGTGGGCTCCAGCATGAAGCACTTGTGCAGGTGTTTTCTGGTCGGCATGGCCTGTCGGTTCCGGGTCTAGGAAGTGCCACAGCAAAGAAGTTGGACTTAACTCGTCGTGGCTCTGGCCACCCTGCCCAGTGGTAGGGTGGGTACAGAGCTGGAGGAGGCTGGAATTCCTGGGCAGTCCCGCCCAGGCCTCTTGGACCCAGGAGCACTTGTCACTGAGTGTTGTGCTCACCTAGCTAGTTCCAGGGGGATGTGAGGAAGGTTGGCTCCTAAGGAAACACAGCTCTGTTTC